CAGCCGGCGGTGAAGAGGAGGAGAAGAGCAGATCCGGATTTTCCAGCAGGGGGGAGAATTTCTGGGTTCAAATCTGGTTTTTAAACAAGAAAAGAAGGGAAAATCTCAAGCTTTCTCACCGCTTTTTAGAGGCATGGCTGGGTTCCCCTTTTTTTTTTTTCTCTCGGGTTGCAGCAGGGTCGGGAAGAGCAGAAGCACGCGGGGAAGAAAGAGGAAAAAGGAGAAAAATATCAGCCATCCTTATCCAATTTTCTACCCTTTTAAGTCCTTCAAGTTTTGAAATTTTGGCTAATAAGCCCCAAAACAATATTGTTCCACAATTTAGTCCTTAACTCACTTATTTATTCTAGAAATTTTTGGGGTATTGCATCCATCCCTCTTAAAAAAGAGTTTTGTCCCCAAAACTCAAATTAGGGATCATTTCAAGTGGTGAATAACTTCACACAATCCGAGACAAAACAAATGCCTCACCAACTCTTTATGAACAGAACATGTCCTACTACGCTTTCGCTACGCCACTTTGATAACAACCACAACTAATCAAACATTAACTATTTAATAGGATTTATGAAACAAGCTACTAGAGGCTGGGGTGATATGGGAAACACAAGGAATAGAAATAAATCCTGCCAAAGCCACAAAGAACAGTTGTGGGGTTACGCTTTGAACCCAACACAAGACGAGTTGGCAAAGAATGGCATGGATTTAAAGACGAGTACAACAAATTTTGAACTCTATCAAAGACGGATAAGCATCCAATGAATGTATGGATCATGAAGGAATGAACAAGTGCATGGATGCCTTATAAACTCTGCCACAAAACAAGGTCAACTAGAACCAAGATCATGTTTAACAAGCAATCTAGAATCAAGAGACAAATTTTAGCAATTAACAAGAGTTAAAAGCTAAACCCATCAAATGACATGTAAGAATATCAAGAATTGCAACAAAATAAAATCAATGGAAAATATGAATGATTGGAAGAATACTGGAATATAAGAGTGCAAGGTAGAATCCCTCAAAAATTCAACAACAAAATGGCATCCACCGAGAATCCAGATCAAATTTAACCAAGTAGTCAAAATTGAGAGACAATAGTTAACCATGAAACAAGCAATAGAATTCAAGGATTAGGCCCACAAAAGAGATTTCAATAATGACAATGGGAACAAGGATTCAAGAGCAGATATAATCAGGATGTCAAGATCTAGCACCTCAAGTACTAGAATTAATTAACAGAACAAAACTCTAGGACATCAGGTACTTCAAAGACTACCCCTTCACCTCGTAGCCCATGGAGGCTAGGCAGATTTACAATCAAGTCATCCTAAACATCCTAGAGTCACGTCAAAGCTAAGGCATCAAGAATACAGAGATTAACACTTACAGGAGACAAGAATTAGGATGCCTCATATAGGTATTTTCTAATAATCATCACCCCTCCTAAAGAGGTGCTCATATGAACAAAAATCAAAATCAAGAAGATCAATAGGTATACTGACACAAGAACTAGCAAAATATGCAGGATTTGAGCAAGAGCAAGAGTTAGGACAAGAACGTTTTCAAGGACAATTCAAAATAGATTCCAAGAACAGTGCAAGAATTAATTTCTAGACAAAAATCAGGATAATGAGGATTTTAATAATCATTATCCATTTCTAGATTTCAGTTTCAAGAACAAGTACAAAGCAATCCCAAGAAAGATTCAAGATGGATTTCAAGAGCTTCAAGCAATTTCAGGTATCAAGAATGTAAAGATTAGCAACAATAGAGAGTTTAACTTTATGACAACTTGCCAATCTTCACAAAAACAAGGCAATTTCAATTGAATGATCATTGTTTTTGATTAACCAATATAGAAAAATGAGCCACATGAAAAGACCATGAAGCTCCAAATGGAAAAAGTGAAATTTCACTACAAGACTTTCAAAAAGATAATGAGCAACGGAATTACCAAGTTATCCAACTTCTAAAACGCATCTAGAAAGCACACAATATTTGCTAAAATAGCCTTGAATCTCTTACAAATTAGAGGGTTGCCCATCTTCCACTGATCATGTGACAAACAGAACAAATTTCTCAACTAGCTATGTGGTAGAGACCAACAGGATCAATAACAAAAGATCTCTGCAACTCCTTAGATTTTACAATGGTGGCAAAAGAGCACACAAAAATTCTATTCACGTAACAAGTCTAAACAAGTGCAGACTATCAGAAAATGACCAAGTTTCAAAACAAGGTCTTAAGAACATGGCAGACAAGATTAATTTCATGAATTTACACAGGGTATGAAGGCAAGAAACAAGAACAATAAGATTACCATCTCATCAAAATGGATTAGAAACTTCAGGGAATATAAATCAGAATCGTCCCTTACATAACCCTATCACTCATCTCACCACGGTTCTAAAATCCACTGGCTAGCCAAGTTCTAAATAAATCCTAGGTATTCAATTAAACGTATTTAATTAAACTTAATCTCTGATACCACTCAATCTGCTTTGATGCCACTCAATCTGGAGGTGCTTAATTTAATCCAAAACTCTTAATTTAACTTAAGCTCTGATACCACAAAATTTGTCACGCCCCAGAACCCATATCCGGGGACGCGACAGACGCCGTGCACTCGTGAAAGGGTCCCACAAATGCACAAGGCTCGGAACTTATCATATCACAATCTGATACCACAAAAATCTGAAGATAAAATTTTAAAATCTGCTCTGATATCATAAAATCTCCAAATACACTCGAGTTTACAAGATCATAATTTATATCTAAATCTATGCTCAATTTACGAGATGGCTAGCCTTCTAACTCGTCACTTCCCGTGGTTTCCCCGTCCTCGGTTTCGCTTCTTAAAATGGTGGACAAGGAAAAACTATGAGATAAACTCAGTAAGTAAATATGGAGTGCCTTTATTAAATTTATAGCATGCCAACAAGTGCAATTACGAAAAACGGATACAATACGGGAACGAAATAAACGTCTCCTCTATAGGTCACGGCCAGTGTTATAAACCTGCCACTGACAGGCTACAGTATTTGCTAGTGTATAATCCCCACTAGTAGGGCAACAGAAACAAACCGGTTCTATCAGTAACATGTCAACATGTGCTAGCGTTTAACCCCCACTAGCAGGGTCACTAATAACATGACCACATTGGAGACAAAACAGGTAGAAGTTAACAGAAAAATCATAATTCACCAATCACTTTCAAATCGTCAGGACAATTAATTAAATTTCAAGTAGGCATGCTCAATTTAATGAAAAGCGTAAAAATTTCACTTCAAATCAATCATACTTTCTTTTGTATAAAACGGGTTTAGTCCCGCCACCACTTCAAAAACAAATCAAAACATGCTTTTAAAAACTGTACGGGCATTACCATAAATTTACTTACCTCACTCGCATAAAACCGAGCACT